GACATTACTCCTTCAACTATTCCTTCTTTATTTTGCATTGGCAATTTCTCTCTTCAATTGATCACTCACATTAGCATATAAATATGCCTTGGTATTTCCCATCTTAAAAAACGACACACCAAAAAGGTTCCACATCCCTCCAAAACCAAATTAAAAAAAAAAAAAGAAATCTCCCTTTAACAAACAATCTTTTCCAGTTATGAACCCATTTATGTATCTCACTTCACAAAAAACACCTCAGAAGGTCTTTCTACAATCAATGTCACTTCCTTACTTTCTATTCACTCTTCTACTCCTCTACTGAAACTGCTCGTCAATGACTTCTATGTTCCCAAGTCCACTGGATATTTCATCTCATAGGAGGATTTCACATAAATGATTACTCTTTCTTTCCAGAAATTCTCTTAGTTACCAAATTATTACTTTCTCCTGGTTTTCTCTCTATCCAACTGGCCATTCCTCTCAGTCTTTACTGGTTCATCTTCCTCTAAACTTCTAAACCAGAATTCCCAAGGCTAAATCCCACTGTATGCTTCTGTCTGTATCTGTCTCTCTCTTTGGAGCAAGCGCTGCACTCTCTTCCTGGTTGACCACACTGGTACCATGAATTTAGACATCATCTTTACACTGATGATGACCAGATCTGTACCTCTAGTACTGACTCCCACCCTAAGTTCCAGACTCATATATCCTGCTGCTTACTTCAAGATTCTACTTGGATTTCTACAAGGCAACTAAAGTTTAACATTTCCAAAGCAGAACTTTTGGTTCTCCCAAACCCTGACTCCTGGATCCTTCTCCGTCTCAATAAACAGCATTTTCATAATCCAACTGCTCACATACAAAACCTAGGAGTCATTCTTAATTCCTCCTTTTCTCCAGTCTCCCACATTTAATCCATTAGTTCATCTCCCATAATATATTGGGATATATAATATTAGTTTCAAGTATATAACACAATGATTCAGTATATATTGTGAAATGATCACAACACTAAGTCAACATCCTTTACCACACAGAGTAGCAAACTTTTTTTCTCCTGTGGTGAAAATTATTAAGATATGCCCTCCCAGCAACTTTCAAAAACACAATATGGTATTAACTGTAGTCAACATACTATATTATACATTACATCCCCAGGACTGACTTACTTTATAACTGGAAGTTGATAGCTTTTGACAACCTTCACCCAGTTCTGCCACCTCCTACCCTCACCTGTGACAATACCATATACTATGTTCTTCTTACCTAAGAGTCTGGGCTTTTTCTGTTGTTGTTGTTAATTTAGATTTCACGTACAAGTGAGATCATATGATATTTACTTCATTTAGCATAATATCCTCAAGGTCAATCCATGTTGTTGCAAATGGCAGGATTTCCTTCTTTTCATAGCTGTATAATATTCGTGTGTGTGTGTATACACATACCACATTTTATCTGGTCATCCACTGACGGACACAAGCAATTTCCATGTCTAATCTTAAATGGGCTCCCCCTGGTGGCTCAGATGGTAAAGAATCTGCCCGCAATGCAGAAGACCCAGGTTTGATCTCTGGGCTGAGAAGATACCCTGGAGAAGGGCATGGCAATCCATTCCAGTATTCTTGCCTGGAGAATCCCATGGTCAGAGGAGCTATTTTAAATAATGCTGCAATAAACATGAGGGGGTGTAGATATCTTTTCAAGTCAGTGTTTTCACTTTCTTTGGACAAATACCCCAAAGTGGAAATGCTGGATCAAATGCTGCCCTTTTCACTGTTCAGGGTGATGATGAGGGTCACATGGATAATTAATGTATGTATGTATATTATAGACTGTAAAGCTCTCCAAAAAATATTATAATTTTTGATTTACTACTCTGGGAACTAAAAGCAAACTACCGTGCTATACACAAATACTAATATAATGTCCTTATAAACTTACTGACAATTATGGCAGGAGCTGGTTTCTTAAACCATGTTAATTACACTCTACCTGAATTTTGCCAGGTCCATTTCTATAGTGTTACAGGCTGCCCAAGAGGGAAGACTATTTCCAGCCAAAGGGGCTGGCACTTGAAAAATATTAGTAAATGGTGCTAAAAACAAGGCACTTTGCTTTATTCACTTTTAATACTAACCCTGCACACACACACCCCTTTAGACAGCAGTGACAGGAAGAGGGCAGGCAGGCCTTACCAACCCTCTCAGCTCTTCAAACAACACTTGAGGATTTCTACTTGAAGGCCTGTCTTTCTAAGCTTGGGCTTTCAAAACTTGGGCTGGACTGATCCCAAATACTGAAGTAACAAATATTACTAAATTCTGTCATTTCCTCTACCAAAAAAAGTGATTTTACTACTACTTCTGGTTGTGATGAAAGGTCCTATTGACTATTCAAACCCTCAACCAAGTTATGGATGCAGTATTAAATGACTTCACTCCTTTTTCTCTGGCACTTTAACACATGCCAGTGCTTTCATCCACCTCCACTAACATGGCTTATAAATTACTGAGGTGGGGTCATTTTAATAGTATGATTTGTTCACATCTCTAGAGATGGAGTATAAATGAGACTGGCTGAGAAGACAAACTCCCCTTTGACAACATGTATTGGTGTGTGTGTGTGTGTGTGTGTGTGTGTATATAATTAACCTTCACAAATTGGAAGTATCTTATTAATATAATACCTGGTTAGGAGCCATAATAATTATGGTTCTGTGATTTCTTATAAGCTGAAATGTAAGAAAGTGATGGTAGTAAGGCTAAAGACAAAATGGTGTTAACGTGAAAAAAGTTGAAGGTCACAAATTTGTTGAAAGTTTCTTTTTAAACGCTCAGAAGAGGCCTCAGGAATGAACTATGAAACCTAAGAAAGTCTGTTTATAAGAAGTTTACTGTCGTCTCCTTTTAAAACTGCCATGACAGTGATGAAAAGCACTAGAGAGCAAGACACTTGCTCCCCGTGGAATCAGAGTGGTTAACCCACTACACACACACAGGTATTGCTCTCTGAATTTCAGAGTATAAAGTTGCAGAAGACACAAAATTAGTAGAAGTAATCCATTTTTTAAACAGAGAAATAAACTAGCTCAGCATACTTGTGGCTTTAGTTCTGTTAAGGATAAAATTAGAAGTGCTCTGAAGTGAGGACCAAACATTGCTGGAGCGGAGTCTGATGAAGAGGGCTGGCTGTCCCCAGTTTTCCATCACACCCAGTCAGCCTCCCTCTTGGTCTTGTTCTCAAAGGAGGCGATTCTTAGCACTCCCTTTATACCTTACTTTGCCATTCCTACTGGACCTGAGAAGAATTAAGTGTGTATGTGTGTACATGCATGCATGTGTGTGTGCACATGTGTGTGTTTGAAGCTGGGATTTATGAGGAAATCCAGGCATTTCAGCCTTAGCCTTAATTAGGAGTAGGTTTCACCTGGAAACTTCTAAAAGACTCCTAAAAGACTGACTTAGGTCTTACCTGTTTAAAGTAAGAAACAGAAAATAGGGCCAAGAGAGAAAAACCTCTGAACTTGGATCAGAACTTAATTCTACTAAATGAGGACAACCTTCCTCACATCCTGACTCCCAGACTCTGGACCCCAGTGTCCACATGCTCTTTTCCACCTTGGTTGACTTCACTGCAGGTGCTCTCTAATTTACTTAGATCTCTTCTCCCTTAATGCATCCTTAGTCTGGCCACTGCTTGACAGTTGTCATCTAAGCATTACCTTCTCTAAGGTATGACAGCTGTCATTAGTAATGCGAGAGGCACAGACTTGAAATTAAGGTCCTGTTTCTTAGTCTGAGATATTCTTCTGCCAAAACTGCAGGGAGGGAAAGCATCAGTTGTGGGGAGAATGGCACATGGAAAGATGAGTCATGGGCTAGAGGTTGCGAGCAAGGCTGCCTGCGCCTGGAATGAAGAACACGAGCTGGATGGCAGTAACAGCAAGAGCAGTGTGAGTGTGAGGTTATAAGCAAATGATTAATCGATGACTGGAAACTAGAAATCTGATTCAGTATTGGAAAAGTTAAGAGTTTAATAAAAACCAAACAACATTAAAATGAAGTTAGATGACAGGAAGAAAGGCAAAGGTGACACCATGTGGAAGAACAATTCTAGATCCATCAGAAACGAATATGGGAATTGTTCAGTAAGTCTTTAGAATCATATGGATAAAAAGCAACTCAGCTCATAAAAACAAAAACATCACAAAACTTATTGCTTCTATACAAAAGAAAGGTCTGAGGATACAGCTGATAATGTCTTTAAATAACAACCAAACAGTGGGATCTCTTCCATGTGACAGTCCAACTGGAAGGATGTCCGAATAAAAACAAGGCACTGAAGCTGATCTTACTCTACAACTAGAAAATTTATGGCATGTTACCTCTTGAAGTAGAGCCATGTGTGCTAAGGAAATGTGGTGTATTTGTTTCAGGAAAATGCAAACCCAAGCATCTGTTAGCCTTGCTATGGCATATAGAAAGATACTAAGTGAGATGTGAATGGGATGACACTGGGAGAGCCACAAAAACTCAAGATGGGCTGGAAGGACCATGTGCTTGGACTTTTTCTGTGGGGCCTTGGATAACAGGTGAGGAGACTGTTAGGGACTTGCCAAAGTCACTAAACTTTTACTCCATGAACAACTCCCTGTGCAAAATGAGTTCCTAGAAGTGGTCTAAGAGAAGAAAGTTATGAGAAGAAAAAGCTACTACTAGTCAAGCTGCAAAGGCAAGAGGTTATAAAGCCCACACATTCAATCACAACCTACTAGCAGGTAACAATTCAGTAAAAGGCTTCTGAGTTTAGCAGGAGGAGTCCAATTTGTACCCATTGCTTCTCTGTAGAATTTATAATGGCACAGAAAAATACTGTGGCCAAAAAATAACTCTGTATTATCATTGTAACTAGTTAAATAGAAGAGTATGCTGTAGAACTTATTCATAAAGAGGGTAAGCAATCCAAGAAAGCAGGCTGCCATGTGCCAAGTAGGAGATAAGCACAGAGGGGTTACTTACCTGTGCTATATTTTTGTTCAGAAGATAGACACCATAATCAAACTGCAACTTCTCTCCTCCTTTTGGGTATAATGGAAACCTAAAAAAGGTAAAGTAGGGTCAGAAGTTTTCCAAAACTGGAGTAAAGCAACCCCAGGTAGTTAACAAAGGTGGAAGCTTCTTGGATACAGCATAAATATCTGAAAATTTGGACTAAGCTACTTATATAGTCACTGCAACCTATTATCTTAATATCTTCATAACATTAGGCAGATCAGGATGATGGCAGTTTCATTTCAAAGGAAGAATTGAGTAAGTCCTGCAACAAGAGACTAATAGATAAGATAGTGATCCACCAATCTCAAGGAGCTGAGGCCCCTATGTCTCCTATTTATATAGCATAAACTTACCACCCTAAGATTCAGATCCTAGAATTTTTTTCCTTTAACACTTTGGATATGACATCTCAACTTCTATTAAATAGGAGAGAAAGATTAAGAAAAAAAAAATCACACTTGAAAGCAACATATAAGCTTTCTATTTCTTCTGAGGTGGTTAGTCAAATAACAGCACCAGTGAGCAAAAATTCATCAAAAATTTACATTTACATTACATTTACATTTCATTTACATTCGCAGGGAGTGCTATTTGGATGTTACTTCTTCAAGGCAACGTACTCATGCCATAGTGTTCTTCAAAGGTTTTCCATTTTAACTTGACTCACTGAAGCAACAAAGGCATGAGATCTAAAGATCGTTATATAGGTGATGAGTTATTTTAGGGAGTAAGTTTCCTTCACTATTTTCCTTCTTCTACTCCTATAAGTGAACATGAAAAGGTTAGCATGTATCTATGTTCTATCTTATTTTTCCCTGATTCTCCAGACAAATTATACATTTTAACCTCTGCAATAGATTTCTCTATAAACAGATCACAACTTAAATATGGTCAAGAAGAAACTTTACTCTGCTTAGTTTTGTAATATATTACTATTTTAATCTTACAGAAATAAATTACTAGATGGTTTTAATTTCAATTGTGGTTTAACTAAGAAAAAGATACATTCCATAATGCTTGAAGGATATATATTGTTTTCTAGGGAAAATAAAAGAAAGGAAACAGAATTTAAAACTTTATGTTAAATTCTCAAGTTGCTGATATCATAGTGTCCAAAAGGTAAATTTGCTGCACTATAAAATTACAGGCACTGGGGAGCAAGCCAGGTCATGAACTGTCTTTATGCTCTACAGTAGAACACCAAATGCTTCATACACCCATCAAGAAGATGTAGCTTTGTATTTAATTGAAGCTATAAAAAAATAAAGTAGGACATATGGTTTGGCCCTAAACTGAGATGCATTCAAAATGATAGCAAAGCAAAGTCAGGATAAGCAAAGTGTAACATACCAGGCTTTTACAGGGTATCTGGGAATCATTCAAATTTGTATGGAATAGCTTGGAAAGAAACTACCTAATTGAAAGGATGTACCAGCACAGGGGTATTCTGAAGAAATCTACTAGAGTCCTCAAGCTCTATACTGTATAGTTGTTATTCTATAAATCACTACATGTAGACCATCTGCACAGCTCTCCAAACCCACAATGTATCTCCACTTTCAAGTTATAAATGCAGAAACTGTTTCAAATGTTGGAAAATAAATTGAATTAAGCATACACTGAAAACGAAGCCTCTAAATCCTGAAAAATGGATGTTACAACATTGACTTTATTATTTCATTGGGATTTCTTCATAGAAAGGAAGAGCCCCAAGGTGTGCATGTACCATTAAAACAAATCTAAAGAGTGAGTAGAGCCAAAGAGTCAAATAGGGAAATTTTAAGACAGATCAAATATTAGGACAGAGTTCACATCTTACATTGCTTTCAAATTCTTAAAACGTCATGTCATGTTGGAACTATCACATAGTATGTGGATTTATAGACCTACTAACAAGCAATCTAGGAAAATGAAATCCATCCAAAAGGATAAAACCTATTATCATCAGGACCTAGGATACAAATCAAAGACATTTTAATTCAATATACATGGAGAATCTCACTAGCAAACTGCAGGTTTAGACAGGAATATGGTCATTTAAGTACAATAAGAAAAATGCTCTTAGCACAAATAGAACTCATTTAAGGGGATATTACATGAAATAACTAGAGGAACAACTATATATTTTCTATTATTATACCTTTACAAGAAATGCAATTAAAATGAACAATATTAAATTCTTTTTCAATTTAAATTATATTGCCAAGTTGTATAAAGAATTCACTGATTGTACATGATAAAAATCAATGAATCAGAAAGCAATAAATAGATTATCCGTGAAGATGGCTTAGCACTCTTTAGTACATAGTAATTTCAGTGTGAATAATTAATTATGACATGAGTACTATAAAGCTAACGTGATTCCAGGCTGTATTAACAGAAACAGAGCATACAACCAGGGGACATGCTAGTGTCAACTTCTTTGTACTTGGTCAGACTATATTGACAGATTTATGTTCGTTTCTGGGAGTTAAAATTTCTTTTTACAAGTATACAGATAAATAACTGAGAACCTATCTAAAAGGTATGTTTCTTATAGGCTTTGTAATAATCTCATTTGACTATATAAAACATGCAGTGAAGTAGGGCGGTCCAGTGATTCTGTTATTTTAAAAAAACTGTCTTGCCTCAGTCACCTACTTAGTGGAAGAGACATGATCTCAGCATTGGGTCTTCAGTTATATACTCAGTATCCTTTCCCTGGGTCCTTTAGAGAATACCCAGGATGACTGGAAGAACAGGAGACATAGTTTTGAGAGAAATGGTTGAAGGAACCAGAGGTGTTTAACCTGGAGGACAGAAGTCTCATGGACAACAAACGAAAGACTTTCAGAGAGAAAAGGGGCTGGTTTGTTCTCATGGCTTCAAGCAGGAAAATCAAAAGTTAATGGTTAAAAAGTTAAAGGAAAATCGATGTCACCACAGAATTAGTTAAAACCCAAACTATCTACAGTAGAGGCAGCAATTAGAGGCTGAGCAACAAATAATAATCATATGATGAGCTGCAGCGGCTCTGGCGGAAGTGGCCAGGGAGCCCAGTCCCTGCTGACTCCACACTCCCCTTCTTGCTGCTGTAAATGGCTCAGAATCACTCAATGTTGCTGGACCTCCAAAATGGGGACATGTACAGCGGGCACCCGGTGAGCTGCAACAACTGGATGAACATCAACTTGCAGTGAGGTGATGTGCACTTCCAGGAACAGGGACAAATTACGGTGTGTGCCCGAGTGCTATATCCACAGCAGCGCCATCAAGCAGCACCTCCCTGATGAGATCATCTACATGGTCAAGGGGAGGTGGCGCCAAGGGCTGTGGCCATGGTGGCTTCAGCAGCAGAAGGGCCCTGGCAAGGGGGGCTGCTGTACAAGGCAGGATTCCAGGCACTGGCAGCGATCAGCCGGAAAAGCAGAGAGGCAGGCAAATAGTGAGCCACCTCTCTGTTCCCCAGAGACTGAGCCAGCATCACTGGGCTTCTGCTCCCACCCCCAAGGCCGCTTTTCTACTCTCCAGGTTATGAGTCTCTTCAGAACAAAAAGACACAGGTGTCGTGAGAGGACCCCGCCCCCCCTTAGGAGTTCTACAATTGGGCTTCCCTTGTGGCTCAGGTCCTCCTGCAATGCGACCGACCTGGGTTTGATCCCTGGGTTGGGAAGATGCCGTGGAGAAGGGAAGGGCTACCCACTTCAGTATTCTGTCCTGGAAAATTACATGGACTGTATAGTTCATGGGGTCTCAAAGAGTCAGACATGACTGAGGGACTTTTATTAAGCACAGAAATGTTATTCTGTGCTTCTGGTTTTGTGAAGTTATAGCCAAACTTGATTTCTGGAAGATTCTCTGTTTAATGCATCTTTAAGGTCAGGCATTTTCCAAACAGGTTTGTTTTGTATTTTGTGTTATATGCCTGCGTGGTGAACAGCTGGGAGGTTTTTATTTTAAGCTGTTTGCACTGAGGCTGACAGACTGGAGAATTTCTTGAAGACAAACCCCAAAACTGCCTTTTCAAAATGAACCCAGGCAAACCTTGGCCTCAGAGGCTGTTGGGGGGATGATGTTGGGCCCTGTCCCTTTGCTTCCTCTCTCCTTCTGTGTAATAAAAATAAATGCAAATACAGCTACAAAAAATACTAACTATGCATTCAGAGGCCTAGGGTGGCTGAATGGTGGCCGCCAAACATGTCCATATTTGGAAACCCACAACCTGTGAATGCAACATCATTCAGAAAAGGGGTAAAAATCTTGAGATTAGATTATCCTTGATTATCCAGTTGGGCCCTAAATCCAGTGACTGTCCTTATAAGGACACAGAGGAGGGACACAGAGAAGAGGAGACGGCCATGTGAAGACGGAGGCAGAGATCTGAGTTACACAGTTACAGGTCCAGGAATGCCTGGAGCCAGAAGCTGGAGAAGGCAAGGAAAGAGTCTCCTCTAGAGCTTTCCATGCCCTGATTTCAGACTTCTGGCCTCCAGAACTATGAGGGAATAAATTTCTGCTACTTTAAGTCACCAAGTTTGTGATAATTTGTTTACAACAGCCCTAGAAACTAACACAGGGGGAATCAAACACTGGATGGCCCATTGCACTTGATGAGGTATAATATCTCATTCATCTCAAAGATCCTGTAGTTCTGAATAGGCCAAACTAAATATATTGAATACAACTTCACATTTCCTTCAAGAACTGAGAAAATATTTCAAGAGTATAATGCCATAGGGTCATCATGATAGGCATCAGCTAAGGCTGCAAAGAAGACCTACTAAAGTGTCAGCAAATAAAATGTCAGAAAAACAGATTCCTATGTATGTGCTGAAAGTAGGAAAATTTTAAAAATTTATATACACACACAAATTTTATATGATACATATTCAAATAACTTTATGTGTGTATGTATATTAAGAACATGCTGCACTCAATTTGGAAAAAGCAATATGAAATAAATTTATTTTCAATCTTTTTTTCCCCAAAAGATACAATTATATTAAGCCTTTTCCTCTCCTTCCCAAGCCAACATTTATAAAAAGGATTTCACATTGGTTATAG